AATGGAACCGAGTAACCATCCATTTGAGAATGATACAGAAGAATCGTGAGTCAATTTCCAAGCCCAACAGGGCAACACCAACAGCATAACCCAATGTAGCTCTGTCTTGTGAATGGCGCCAGGCGCCCTATCTACTCTACAGCCTAAGCCTACAACTACAGCAATGAAAGCAACCAGACAACTTGACTACCAGCGAGTGATGATGTCAACACCAATGCCGACCTCCACCTCCACCAGGTACTCCCTTGTTACCCACACAGCGCCCTTCACCTCTGAAGAACCACCTTCGCCCTCACCTCTCCTGCGCCCTATGCAGCCCGGCTATGGCCGCCAGCGCACAGTGCACAGGCAGCGCCCTACCGCCTAGCGCCTGCCTGCCTTGCACCTCATCCCAGCGCAGCGCAGCAGCTCGCATTCGCGCAGCGTGCCGGCATTGCCCACAATGGCCAAGATCCCTGCCCACTCGCCTTGCTTGCCTATATGCCAGTGCTGCGTGTGGGCGGCCTCCCTTCAGCCTGCGACTCGGCCCCAGTGCCTGAACCCAGGCCCGATGCAGTTGGGGCCCGAGTGATGCAGTTGCGCCTCTTTCGTCAAGGCCTGCGGCCAGATTCAGATAGTGGGCCGATTTCCCTTTGCCATTTTCGGCCTCTATACCCAGCATGCATTGTCGGCCTCACGTTCAAGTGCCCAGGGCCTAACTAACTCAGAGGCCCTGGGATCTCCACATTTGCAGAGATTCGAGACTCGGTGCACTCCAACCAACTGGCGTGCTGCAACTGTATGGACCCCACTTCGTGAAATGTTTGCACAGAGGGCTCTTGTTGATTTGCTGGCCCGCCTTCACTTAGCGCGGGCACTAGGCTTGCTGGGGCCTTAGGCCAGAACATGTACATCATGGCAAGGCCCCTTCTTGAGGGCTCAATCCTCACAGCTGCACCGCAACCTCTTCTCGTCTGGCTCTCTCGGCCCCGGACGGTAAGGTCTGATGCACGACGCAAATCCTAAGGGACTATTCACTCTCCTACAGCCAGCTCTCTCCTCCCCACTACCTTGTCCGCTCATGTGCTAAAGCAGATCACTGTCTGTAATAGAGTCCTCTCTAGGACCTACCACAACACATGTCTGACCGAGTTGCAAAAATAATAAATAAATAAATATTCGGTATGTAACCGAGGCTACCGTTCAGGTGGTGTAAAAAGAATGTACACAGACTCAGAAAATGATCTTACTCCTACTTCAATCAGTTCTCAAACAACAGCGGTAAACAGAACTGGAAATGGTAGACTGCTAAAGTTCTAATCTACAGCTGTCTGTCAGGTGTCAGCAGTCTTAAAAATAAATCACTTGCACAGATGCATGCAGAATGGAAAATAAAAAATAATAATAGTCGAGCACCAATTGGAACCCTCCCTCCCCTGTATCCGACATCGTGACTGCATCAGCAGAGCACCATTTTCTATGGTGTGCACAATGGCCCACCCATGTGCCCACGTAATGCAGAGCACGCCAGCCACATCTGCACTATTTTTATCCCCGCATACAGTGCAAGCTGGTTTCCCCGCCGGAGTATCTTTAACGATGGTCCGGTGCACGTCGATCCCCCATAAGGCTGACTTGCCCCACAGCCCTCTATGGGCAGCAAGAGCTCAAAGGAAATGCAGCAAAGCATGCGTGCTCTACTCCCTTGGGTTGGCATGGTGACCGTGACCCGTGCTTCGTCCAGGGCCCTTCAGAGGCACCGCCCTCTCCCACCAGATGCACCACCAGGAAGAATGTCGAGTCTCAAGGTAGAGCACGACTCCTGAACCAGAAGAGGACTCTCAAGCTGAACTCTCTTCCTCATGGTAAGAAGAGATTGAGATGGGAAGATAAGACAAGGAACAACGTACCTGAAGATAGCTGCCCCCAGCCACAGATTTTCTCACCAATTGAGCCAACGTGCATTTTGATGACCAGTCATAGCCTTGATACCACACACAATGCAATGCAGTGCCACCTCAGCCAAAATACCACGTCAGCATGCCCTCATCATTCCACATATACCTGGTGACGCCACAGCCTTCCAGTCCCGATCCCCTCTACCCAGGAGGGACCCAAATCAGCCAGCATCGAAGTATCCTTACTGTGGAGAAGCTTCGTCAGCGCACCATGTAACCAAGACACCAGCGCCAGTATGGCGATATCTGAACCAGCTCTGCTACCAAGTTGCAAGGAAAATGAGAGAGTGCGAGCAACAGAAAACCAAATTGCAATATCACGCTGAAGACCAGATAGTCGTGTACAAAGCAGAAAGCACAATGCACCGAGCTACAAACCAAATACGAGAAATACAATGCTGACCCTCTCTCGCCACCACCAGCATAGTATTTAATGTCGCCCTTCCTGATTGGCACTTGGCGCCCTGTCTATCCTACTGAACACCTATACTAGCCTACACTACGTATATGCAACAGGAGTCACTTCAAGCTGAAGACCAATGTGCGTGACGACATCGCCAATGCAGACTGCCAGCATACACCAGATACGTGTCTCTTCCTCCTCTCAACCTCACCCCCTCCTTTCCCACAGTGTGCACCCTCATCACCCGAAGCCCACCATCACCCACACCAGCATCTGCGCAAGCAGGCCCGGCTATGACCTCTTGCGCCCACTGCCACTGCAGTGCCCCTCTACCCTCACAGCCCCTGCGCGCGCCCTGGCTTGCCAGCGCCCAATGCAGCAGTGTGACTGCCCGTGCGTGAAATGCCAGAATGTCTGTCTGGCTGGGCTCACTTTCCCCTACGCAAAGTGAGCGCTGCTCTGGCCCCCTCTGGGCCTGGACCCCATGTGCCCAGTAGCTTCTCTTTGGGCCAAACTGTCTATGCCCAGGCCTGGTCAGACAGTTGCCTGGGCCCGCAGCAGTAGGGCGCGGCCAACTACTCACACTCACAGTGAGGTGTTCCCTGCTCTGTGATTGGACGAGAGGCCAGCCTCCACATCAACCCAGAAGAGCCCGGAAGGCTCACGGAAAATTCTGATGCTTGTGAAAGGGGCTTGCATAACCAACTGGTGCGTGGAAACTGTCTGGCGTCCCCACATGCAGAAATGACAAAAGCAGGGCCTCATGTAGAGAAGCAGGCCCGCCTTCAGTTAGGGTGGGCACGAGGCCTGCTGGGGGGGCCCCTCAGCGAGTCGGGTGCCGTGACCTGAAAGGCCTAGCAAGGG